AACCCTAAACCCTAAACCCTAAACCCTAAACCCTAAACCCTAAACCCTAAACCCTAAACCCTAAACCCTAAAACCCTAAACCCTAAACCCTAAACGCCTAAACGCCTAAACCCTAAACCCTAAAACCCTAAACCCTAAACCCTAAACGCCTTAAACCCTAACCCTAAACCTAACCTAAACGACCTAAACCCCTAAACCCTAAAACGCCTAAACCTAAACGCCTAAACCCTAAACCCTAAACCCTAACCTAACCCTAAACCCTAAACCCTAAACCCCTAAACCCTAAACCCTAACCCTAAACCCTAAACACCCTAAACCCTAAACCCTAACACCCTAAACCCTAACACCCTAAACCCTAACACCCTAACACCCTAAACCCTAAACCCTAACTTTCAAATTTTGAGCACATTTAGTGCCCTTGACGATTTTTTCCAAAATTGCTACCAAAAAAAAGTCAATCACATGTCTGGCCACTACTGTATAAAAAAATGCCAAAAAACTGTCAAATGTCATTCTAATACTAAGTATTAAGTTTAAGGACTAATAATTTAATAAAAATAACCTAAGGACTAAATAACATCACATGAGTCATTTCAAAAATAAAAGAAGAAGAAAACATCACATAGTATCTGTGTTTCGTCTCTCTTTCTTCGCTCTCCAACAGAAAACCTAAGAATCGAACTTCAACAAAAATTCAAGTTGGCTCCAAAATTTTGAAAAAACTTGGTAGATTGTGGGGATTTTCAAACAATCGTCAACCGATATGTCTATCAGAAGCAAAGAATTGAATAATGAGCCACCTCCAAATTACGGTAAGTAAATATGGCTGTCCTCTTGTAATTTTCACATCACTTATTGAGTTGAAGGTGAAATTACAAGTAACAAAATATCATTTATCATCTGAAAAAACTAATCTCTGGGAGTGTTAAAGCAAATGGACAATGGATTCTCCTAAAAATTACAAAAATTGTTTTAATCCAGAGTATAATCTACTGTGTATCCCATTTTTATGTTTCAATATTTGTTAGCTACAATTTTTTTTTGCATTGCCATCATCATTTTATAAGTGGTTTTTGTTGGAGTATTAAACCCTTAGTATTATGTCTTAATTTTCTTACATACAGAATAGTGATGTGTGCTCTCGTTTAGCTCTTTGAATTATTCCTCTTAAAATATAGGAAATGGTAGCACTGAAATCACCATGAAGTGCTATATTTGGGGAAAATGTATAAATGGGCCTGATGCACATTATGAGGGAGGGAAAATATGTGTGTTTGATTATGTAGAAGTGACTGGGATTAGTTTGTTTGAGATGGATAGAATGCTTGAAAATGAAGCAAGGGCCTACGGCGATAAAGAGCGTGGATTTCGCAGGCTTTGGCATGATAAGGAATTATACGCTTATTATGCAGATTATCTAGGTTATGGTAGGCGTGTTGACTTATACATTGAGGTTTCTTTTGCTGAAATTTTAGGCTACAAATGGGTCTGATTATGAGGAGGACGATTATGATGATGATTATATTTTAGAGGGAGGTGTAAATGATGAATCTGAAGATAACAATGGTTGCAATTCAGATGCTAGCTCGGGAATTTTCTGGTAAGGACTCGGACTATGAGATGGAGGAAGAGGATTATGAAGATAATGTAGATCAAAATGTAGGATGGTTGGGGATTGAGAATCAAGCAGAAGAGGAAAGAAAAATGACTGCTAAAGGCAAAATGATTGCTGCAGCTCAGAGGGATATATGAAAAAAAAATTTGTACTTTTCAAATATATTTATATTTATTATAAATTTATGTGTAATCCTGCACGCCTTATATTTCTGCAGCTAGTATTTACGATTTTTTTAAACGTACTTCGAAAAAAATTCATATTAGTATGCATAGGAAATAACATCCAATATTATACTTGTCCGGTATTTTACTAACGCTCAGCGAATCTAGCGGCTCAACAAGGTGCTACAAAAGATAATTAAGAGAACGAACAAACTGGTATATGCATTCGGTATAGCAGTATCATACAGTGTTGGCGTAGGATCAGTAAATAAATTTCAAACTGAGAATTATTTTGTTTTTTTAATTGAAAGAATAAAAATGATTTCACAATAAATATTCGCACTTCGCGTTTAGGGGAATTGTGAAGAGTTTTTCTGCTGCTGCCGATTCTTACGCCCAAGAAATTGAATAAGATGGCCTCTTAGGCTCCACTCTCCGACCTGAAAATGTTGAATAGTAAGTTCAACAATCATATACGCCTATTGAAACTAACTTTTTCCTTCACTTTTTTCCCTAATACCAAACTAAATTCAACTAATTATGTCTTTCTCTTGTTCGCTTATTGCTTTACATTAAACCGGGTGCTTTATTTCATTTCATGCCTCCTTAATGCTGTTATATTTTACTCTTTCCTTATCTTACTCCAAATCTAAGATAAATTGAGGATTAGTGACGCAGTTCATGAAGGATTGTTATGTCCACGGGACTCAAAAGAAGCATATTGGAAATCATCTAAAAGATTGGATTTAATTGAAGAACATAATACTTTTGAGACATGCCTGTGATGCATATGACTTCAGTATGGAATCTCCACATTCCTGGATGTGGGCTCTTTCTCCACCCATAATCCTAGCCAGTTCAGAAACTAAGCTTTCCATATCTTCCGCCTACATGCGCCCAAATGTACAAGTACAGGAAGAAAGTCAAGGGTCTCATGCAGAGAGAGAGAGAGAGAGAGAGAGAAATTTCGAAATACTGTCAAAAACAAAAGAGAAGGAAAATGGTTTTTCAACTCTCGAATTTGCTTGCGTTTGCACAGCCCCAAGCACGTATATTCTTGAAACAGTTTTTTTCCCCTGAACGGGAAAGTGGGCCATAGAAGTATGTCGGGGTATATGGTGCAAGTTTATTCATTTGTGGCCTTCATTTATTGGAAACTTACTGTTTCCTGTATAACAATAAAAATTTTGCTGCTTCCACATACCTTCACCATGAAGCTTTGGATACAGAAAGTAATCAATTCTATCACCTTCACAGCTGAGTCCAAGATCTCCTTCAACTCTGTTAAGTCAACCTGTAGCTAAAGTTTTGGTCACAATTCACATTGATGCTGGGATTCGCTACACAAATTGATAAATGTGACCAATTACTACAGTCACATATTATAATTATAAGGATATGCAACAGCACATCGCACCTTAACTCCGCCACTGATTGGAAGTCTGAGTGACAAATTAAGTAGAGCATCCGTGACACCTGATAAAGAATGCGAGTAATCCTCTGCCACAGTAGACCATTCATCAAGATATGGCATCTGAAATAGAATGTGGTGAGCAATTTTAGGCTGTATTCAGGAAACAATTATAACTCGAGTGGTTGGAAAGTGATTATTGGGCCCATAGCTATAAACCTGTTTCTGAAACATCAATTGAACATGGAGGATTACAAATATTGAAATTGAGACCGAAGGAAGAAGATTGGACACTTCAATGCGGAAGACAAGAAGGCGAGTTGAAGAGCACAATAAATTAAAGAAATATAGTGCCCAAACAAAATGTTTCCTTTCTCCAGGTACTTCCAAACTAAACATGAGTTCCAATATTTTTCCTGTTTGAAGTCTGTCAATCATATTGCATGTTCATTCTGGAAGAACAGCATGGCAAGAATGCTAAATACATTTATTTCCATGAACTCATTCATTTGTATCTCTGGCAAACACTTTATGAAGATAAAGAGACAAAGTTCTTTGCTTCATGATTTCAAGTCTCTGCTCACAACTGCAAAGAAGTAGCTCATAACTTCATGTTCCAGAAGTAAAACCATCAAAGATTAGAAACTCTGAAACTTAAATCTGGCATGCTACTAGCTTTCCGTGTCTTGAAACACCAGATAATTTGCAAATCTCGAGGCACTATAACACTAAATGCACATCTGACTTGCATGTTAAGCCAACTGAAGGGACTAAATTCCTAATGCACATCAATCAGTATAATGTTCAATTGTCTGCATCACTTGAAGCAGTATGATTGGTAGTCTAAATATTATGAGGCGGTCTTAATTGCACAAAACAAAATGAATGAATCACAGTACATTGCAGAAGTTTTTGATGATAACTGCGAACATCATCAATTGGTGGTGGAAACTATAAAATTCGGCAGACAAGATAGATCTACTTGTAGATGTTTTTCCTTACTTCTGCATCAATGATATTTTAGTCTCTCCAAACTTTATATGCATCTATCTTTTATGGTTATTTGGCTACTCTCTCTGTGAAATTTTTACCTGCGGCATTGGGCAATATTCATATTAGAAACTTATCCTAAAGAGGCTTGGGGTTGATTACGCACAATTCCGATCTGCAGGCCAAGGTTCCCCCACGCCGAAGGCCAGTGTGTGCTTTTAAAGACTCAAAGAGAAGTGATAGCCAATTCCTCCACTTAAGCTACCGTGAGCTATTTGGACTTTATAGTTTGTGATATCAAAGATTTCAAGCTCACGTATGTTGTGCTATTATAGGCTTGTATTTGGTGGAATGCCCTTCGAGTGAATTCATGTTTCTCACAAATGAATCTTCATGAGGGCCAAATGAGATGATGAAGGATTTGCAAACTGTAAGTTAACCTTAGGATTTGTCATCTCATGACAATATTCTTTTCTTGAACTAAGTAAGACATGTAGCTCCAAAGAAAATCACAAGTCAAATCTATCTAGGGCTTTACAACTTGAAGATAATTTTATAGATTGAAACAGTATTCTCAACACAACAGGGTCTAAATTTGGAGGGGAAAAAAATTTTGCTCGAAAATTTTCATAAACAAATTTCAGTTAGCAACCTTACCTGCGATTCAACTGTTGTTAATAAAGTTTTTATTCTTTGCCATCGATTAAGTTCGATGTGACTATTCTTCACCACCTCACGCATCTGCGAAATCTTGCTTCCAAGAGAAAACAGTTGCCCCTGCACAAAAGAAAACCACAAGCAGGATGACTGATTGAATGACAGTTGGATGTTGGAAACAAATATCAGGCAACAGTTAACTCAAAGAGGGAAGCATGTGAAATATAGATAAGGGTTAATACTCTCCCTTATAGACAAAAAGACTTATAAACAGAATCGATCAGAAATTAAAAAATTAAAAAGAAAGAGAAAGATGATTGGTCTCCATGACGCGCACTGGAGAGGTAAAAAGGGTCAACACAATTTCCCGACGTAAAATTACAAGCCAAAGACAGAACACATTCTGCTGCACCATTTTCGAGATATAGTAACAATCAGACAGTGACATCAAAGCCAGTTTCCAATTTGAACATTAGACACAAAGTTAGTTCACTTGCAGGATTGTTGGCAGAGCTTAAATAGATAAAGCAAATCTAGAGTCATTTAAGCTACTACGAAAACTCTAGTCATTGTCAAATATACAAACCTCTGCTTCCTTTTTTTGAGCGAGCATAGAGACCTCTGATTTTGCATTAGCGAAACGCCACTGCAAGTAATGGTTGTACAGCAACTTTAAAGCATGCTTTACATCATCTTGGTGATGAAATAGTTTCTTTCCTTTTCTAGCATCCGCTGCTACTCCCTGTTTTAGTGATGACAGATGTGAAGGCAGACAAAGAGTTGCCACCTGATTCGTCAAGGAGGTTTTGGAGGGAGTTTTGGAAGCTGTTGGATCACCAGCTTTACTAAGACAAGCTGAGGAGGAGGAGGAGGATGATGGATTTTCACTGTTGGATTGTGGCAAATTGACCAGAGAACGAGAACAGGGAGAGGTTGTTGACCTTAATGAGTTGGAGTCATTATCACATATTTCGGCAACAGGTAGATTATTGAAGCTTCTAGCAACATGCTGCCACCTGGTTGACACGGTTGGAAGAACATCTACCTCCGGCATGGAAGAGCGCAAATCCGGAGGCATCATCCGGTTGTTCGTATTACTCTGGACGCCAAAGGCAGTGCGACTTGAGGAAGAATCAATTAGAGGGTGGTCAGTTGAAGTGGCCTCTCGTAATAGTTTAGCTGCAGCGGAGGCCGTTACTGGCGCACCACCACCACCATTCATATTCACACAGTAATTGGTGGCAGATGATGGCCGATGAAGGCTTTGGGAAGCGAGCCTATATCTGGACGGAACAATCCTATCCCTATCTCTGTCGGCTCCAGCAACGATTGGAGTGTCGGGTCTTCCGCTACCAAGTCTTGGTTGTTGCAACTCTGTCTTGGCATCGTTCTCCTTATAAGGAGGCTTCACTCGCTGCAGCTGCTGTTGCTGTTGCTTTCTGGGTGCAGATGAAGAGGATTTAGCACTCTGATGATGTGCGTGTGCTGCTGATCCTCCTCGTCCTCCTCCTCCTGGAGCCAGAGGAGTGCTACTGTCTAAGCTCCTAGCGGTCTCTGGAACCCAGTTCTCATCTATTGAACGGGGTTCCAGCTCGTATTGCTGTTGGGGCTGCCGACTCTTGACAGATTTAGAACGCTGGGATTCAGGTGCTGCCGGGGTAGGGGTAGGAGTGGGAGTTGGGTTGGCGTTGAAAGCCACCAGAGGAGACATGAACCTAGAGCTCACCTCTCTCACCCTCAACTTGGCACGACGATGGGCCGGTGGCGGAAGCGGGACTGGTGCTGCCGGATGCTGCCGTTGTGTCGTTGCATCTGAAGTTTCTTCCATTCTGTCCTCCTTTCAAGTCACAAAGAGAGGTTGATTGATCACTGACCAACAACCAACAAACCACTCCAGGAAGCTGTATCTAATCCGTTCCACTTCAGATCGATCGAATTGATAGTTGGATTAATGCTAAACGAGAAAACCAAATATGGGCCTCCTCTCCTCTTCTCCAGTAGGTTCATATGCGTATCCAAATCTGAACTCCCCCTTACAATTAGAAACTGCAACGAGAGCCCCAGAGTTGAAAACTAGCCGTTGTGGCATTCCAGGATTTATTATTATTATTATTATTTTAACGCTATTGACTCGGCGGCTCGCAAGTCGCAACGGAAATAAATTTTGGAAAATTACTTAATTAGCTTAGCCTCGGAGAGACAAGCTTCCGAAGTTGCGAACAAGGGCTCAAAATATTCGCACTCTAAGGCTTTCAGCTGTCAAATTTTCTCTCCCTTACTTTCTACCTTTCATTACATTGTTGTTGTGATTTTACATTTCCTTATCCATGAGTCCATGACAATGGTTCAAACTTAGTCTCATTTCATCCATTTTACCACCTCTACTTGGTATAAAGGAAATGTGTGTCCAAATCACACGAAATTAAAGAGGAATTTGACTATTAGTTTAACTGCATTCAAGAACCCCACAGCCACTTAAAGAGCACTGATTTAAAAAAAAAAAAAATTAAACCAGATAGGAGAGAAATGTTAAAGGAAAGGAGAAGGATGGAGTTTGGGTGGAAAAAAATGTCAACAGAAATGTTAAACCGAATCTCCCTCAAGCGTCTCGGCCCTCAACCCAATTTGCAGCGTAAAATCAATGAAGACAACCCACTGTAACATCAGGGTCATTTTTGCGTTTCCACTTAGGAATAGAAAAGAAAATATTACAACAAATATGAATATAACATTGTAGTCAAAACACATGCATGGGGCTTATCAGCATTATATCAAGAAACCGGGGAATAATAACCTTTGTTTGCTTAAAATGTCCATCAATTTTGTTCATAAAATCAGGAAGAGGAAGCCAAATGTAACCTCTCCAGCCAACACCACTGAGGACTTCCAACATAACTAAACACTCATTTACAAACATCAAAATCAATAACTCCGATGTTCAATTATTTGTGCCAAAAGAGTTATACAAATTGTGGTTTGGTTGTGAGGCACTAAAATGATGTTGCCAGAGGGTTTTTAAAAGGTGTAGTTACTGTGGAGGGCATCAAAACAGAGGTGGTTGAAAGAGAGTAATAATGGGGACATGAGAGGTATGGATCTGTGAATCCTAGCACCTTTGCCTGAATCTTCAATTTAGAGGGGGAGATTTGAGGGAAGGTGAATGGCAAAATCAGATCAAGCAGGTAGGAGAGTGGAGGTACTGATGCGGTCTACATCGGCAAGAAATAAAGAGGGGAAGATGGCAAAGCTGGGAGCAAAGAGCTGGCTTGCGCATCTGTACGGATTACAACGAGGAGGTTTATCCATGGAGAGAGAAATGGAGATGGAGAAACCTCAGTAAGTTTCATTTATTCATCATAATAAATAAGGACAAATGGATTGACCTTCGTAAGGGTTAGTTTTCACATTTAGAAAATTATTGCTCTAGCAATATCGCTACCCATTTGTAATGACCTAGCAGAAAAGAACAAATCCCAAATCAAGTAGAGTTCCAAACACGTGCACAAATTAGTTCTTGGATGAGCATGCACTTTTATGCCTCTTATCTACCAATTGGTGTACATTCTATCTCTCCTACTTACAAATCTACAACCATCTCGATACTATAACTTTGTGTATGGTCAGAATGTCTAATTGACAGGTTCTCCCCTTAATATGCTCCTCACGGCCAATGAGATGTGAAAGACCACAGCCTAGCTTCCATAATGAGGTCTGTCCGATTGCAACAGAAGAAATTCTCTGCTGCTTGATATTCAGTCATGGCCGCGATAATCTCCTCTCCTAGAACTAATCATAGGCTCATCTGGGCATCATAAAATGGTGGTGGTGAGAAAGAGCTCTCAATTTCAAAAATAGACAAATAGGAGTTGTCGCACTTTATTAAACACCAAAAGAACGCAAAACAGTGCAGCACCCGAACGTAAAACAAGACAACGGATTACTTTCAATCTACAAAATGATGAATGATGAAACCATCCGGTTCCATGCATACTAACAGAAGCCTAAATTAACTTAATGCCAATTTAAGCTGTAAACGCAGTCAAGCTTCCTACAATTTGCGAGAAATAATAATGTGAAGGACCTCAAGTGACGAATCATGGAAGTTCACACCTACACCCAGCCTCTTCCTTCTAGAAAAAGATGGAAAAAGCTACACATATAGACATGTTTCACTTATTCCAAGGTTTTTATTTTCTTTTCCTTTGTGATTATGGGTGGGTTTTAGATAAAAATCATAGAAGTGAGAGGTATTTCCCTCAGGTGACAGTTCAATCTGACACAGTAGAAGAGTACTCAACCTGCTGCAATGGTATCCATTCTTCCAGTTCCTTGACGGCATTTACTAAGAGTATAAAAAGATTTTTGTCTTACCCTCATCATCTTCATCGCCACTTTGAGAAGTAAAAAAGGGAGTGAGGTAGTTCCTATCTAATGCTGTAAATGATGCCGTGCTGCAGAAAGAATTCAGAACTCAAAAGGATTACAAAATTACAAAAATGAGAGAACTAATCATCCACGAAAAGCTATTAACGTGCAGTACCTTTTGTGAAATTCTTTAAGCTTCATTTTGAGCCTGTTTCCTGAGGATGATTCCCCATCATAAGGAGGAGCTATATAGCCATTGTTGCCCTCAAAGCTCTGAAATAAAGCAAATAAAATCAAACTTGGAAAGAGAAACTGGAGGAGTTATAGAGATTTGTTTTTAAGAAAAGTTACAAAGAAACACGCTTGTTGAAAGGTAGTACTCCCATCAAACCTACTTAAAAAATAGTGAGCCTGACGTATATTAGCATGGTAAAGAGTATTGCTAAGTGGCACCATAAGTGTTGTACTCCTATCTTCTTTCTACCACCTTAGACTTCATCATAAGCATGTTTTCAAGAACATCTAGATATATCTTTTAATAAACTTGTTACTGATCCATACAACAGCTTACAAGTGCACAAATGTGATGGATAAAAAAAATAACACAGAAATGACTAAAGCGCAAAGCACTTAATAAATCGCTAGTAGGAAATTTAGGGGGTGCTTGCTTCATGCTCTGGAATTGGAATTGGAGATGGCATAATAGACAAAAAATCAGTATGGGTTTGAACCCCTGGTATCATTCTACAGACTGGTGCTTGGTATAAACATAGTTGGAATGGTATCAAAATTAATTTTTCATTTTTTTTAATCATTGTTCTCTTTCCTGGATTGATAATCATGCCCACCATCTGACTACCACTGAATTACTACCAATCCAAATCCTTATTGGTTCTTTGTTCAACAATTACCAACAAAAACTCATGACTAATCAATAAAAGATCTGGATGTTTGTCATATTTTCCTTTTCTATAAAAATTGCAACTGGAACTTTCAGACATTTGCAAAAAATTTTCCAAAAGAAAACGGCAAATTTCATCCTCTACTGAAACCTGTTAGAATCACCATACAATGCAATCGAGTTGGAGCCCTTCACAAAGAGAAGAGAACAGAAGAGATCGATTGTGATGAGGAGGACGATTTGATGGTGAGGGAGGGGAGGAAAGGGTCTACTGGGGCGATGGGGGAGTGATGGGCAGTGGGAGAAGAGGAGGGATTTGTCAGATGCCATGGAAAAGGAAGAAAATCGGAAACAAGGTAGGAGGGGATGTTGTCAGATGCCGAGATGGAGGGAAAAGTGGTCAGAGACAAATGAGGGAGGAGTTGTCAGATGCCATGGGAGAGAGAGGAGTGTTGAAGGCAAGGGACAAAGGGGAGGTTCGATGGTGGGAGTCTGGGAGAGGGAGAAAGGAAGTATTTTATGAAAATATTTTATCTTTTATTTATTCACCGTTGGAAATGAATTGAGGATTTTGAGTGATTCCTCCCAATTTAGTCAGGAATCATGAATCCCCAAATTTTTGGGCATGATTCCAATATTTCAATTCCCATTACAGTGTACCAAGCACTAAGTATTGGAATTATCGTCATTCCCCATGCCAAAACCCTCAGACCAAGCGGCCCCTTAATAGGATAATAATGACATAGAAATGATTAAAGCGCAAAGCACTTAATAAATCGCTAGCCGGAAAATTTAATATCATAAAAAAGCAACAGAAACATACTCCAAGGATTTTATCAAGAGCAGAAAAGTTAAGACCATGAACAAAAAAATGGTAACAAGTTGAAGGAAATTGCATAGATTGACAGGTAAGCTTACTTCCCCTAAAGATCCATCATGTCCATCGCCCACAACCTCTAGAGCTTCCAGCATTGTACCTGTTGATCCTCCAATCAACAAGACCTGCAAAGTGCAACCAACAACCATTGGCAATTCCATATGCGAACATCATCAAGAAGTAAAATGTAAAACTGAACTCTATAGGGAAGACTAGGTAGGAATTATTTATTATGCAAAAGTACAGAGTCACCAACTTTCAGACCACCAAGATTTTACTAGAACTAGTGAACTCTCGAACAAGTTTACACCTTAAGTTGCCCAATCCCTACATGCACCAATTTTTTAACATTTTTTATACCTGTAAAGCTTAAACTCTTCTAAATTAATGAAAACATACTGATAAACATTGGAAATCATCAACCTCGAACCCCATAATACTCGCATTAGAATTGTTAAGTTGTGAAGTATGGAAACTCCCATCCAGACAAAATCAGTTCAATGAACTCTAGGTTGTTTCTTAAGACAGAGCACTTAACAGTCTCAGCCACACTCATATTAGTAAATTTTCCAACCAATGAATTTTGAATTGTTATTTCCAACCGATGAGCATTGAATTGTTGTAACAACAGGTTCACAAGAACACAAACAAAAACCAAAGAACAAGACTATGGAGATTGCAAATTGCTAAATGGAATTCAAAAGTACAGCCAAACTAGCAATTTAGAAGAAAGTTAATAAGCAGTGGCACACGATCCAATTTGTTGGAACATTAGAAAATCAGTACTTAAAACTTAATTAGTTTTCTCTGTTCATAGGATGCCTTTAGGGGCAACATATTACCTTTAATATTTTAGTAAATTAAAATTCCAAGAAGCAAGAAGGGATTTTATCCTACCGTCAAAACAACAATTGCAGTTGTTGCAGTGAATATTGTCTGACCATGTCCCTCAGGAAGATCGTGAACTGATTGCAATGAAAGTGCAAAAGCCATAGCCCCTCGAAGTCCTTGATGCATGTCATAACACATATTAGATGAACCAATGTTGGTTAAAAAAGCACACAAGTTAAAATAGCAACTTGAAAGTCAAAAGGTCCTGAAGAGCTTACCGCTGTACCAAAGCGCCTTTTGATGTTTCAAAGGTATTTTGCGGTTCGTTGGTCTAACCAAGTTTATCAAATACGCACAGCCAAAAACATTTGCAGCTCTTCATAACATGCATAAATTGGTTTAATAATTTAACCACAAGTACATTAAACATAACAAGTTCTTCTAATTAAAAAAAAGTTTAAAATTAGTACCCTAAACATAAATCTCATAACTAATTAACCAAATGCATCAGCTTTCATGTTAACAGAGGTCCAAAGTTTATAAATGGAGATTGAACCTTTTAAAACCAGAAACAGAAATTCAATTAGTTAAAACCAGTAGCAAAGTAAGCAATCAGATGGAAAATCTTGAGTTTATGAACAATCTCAAACTTTTACCATGGATTTTAGGAGTTCCATGGCTTCACAGTAATGCCACTTATTTAAATGACAAATGGGAATTGACAAACTTGGTTCAAGTTATTAGGCTAATGAGCTCGAAAAGTCATATTTTGCAAACTTGGTTCAAGTTATCAGACGAAGTGAGGAAGAAAAGTGGTAAGAATTTTGGGGAAAAAATTTGCTCAAAATATGCTCTTGCTTCTTCAATTATGATGTAATTTTGCATCAAGCAGAATATTGACGTTGCTGAAATTTATAAAACCTAAAAGAGTTGAGCTTAACATACCTTGCAATTACAATGAATAACTAGGCCAATCATGGAACAAGTTAAGAAATTATACCATTTAACTTCGCGGGGGGGGGGAACTAGAAAACCAACTGTTTTTAAGATTACACTAACAACATAAGGATACAATTGAGAAAAAGATGAATCCAATGTGGGACCAGCTATGTTGCTCCATGGCAATATCAAATCCCATGTATATAAATCTGCATGATCAAGAAATTCATTTCTAGATCTTAAACATAACCGAGGGGAAAAAAGGTGCTTTGTATAAACACAAACTCTCTTACACAAATGTCTCAGCCAATGATGATATCAGGTCAAAAAAAGCAGACACAAACCGCTGCGAATTGTCTGACAGATTTGAGAATGTGTAGTGCTTCATAACCTTAGAAAAAGAAAAAAAATGATGCTTCCTCATTAATAATACATTATAAAGTAAAGGATCAAGGCAAAAGGTAAATCATGATTGCACTTACAATTCCAGTGAACAATATCGAAACAATACCAGAGAGACCAAGTCCTTCTGCTAGCATGTACCTTTAAAAAGGATGCAGATGACAAAATCATGCACCTTGATTGAGGAGGGGAAAGATACGGACAACTTATAACTTAACTAAATGGTTTTTGAGGAAAAGCAGCTTACGAGAAATATGGAAAGAGGACAAATAGACAGCACTCCAAGTTCTGAAGACTGTATAAAAGCATCAAAGAAGAGTAAACTAGAGAGTTGTAAGACTTGAGATAACAACCGCAAGATGATTCAGAAAAATAGGCACTTACTTGTCAATGTCAAGACCAGCATATTTAAAAAGGTTCTGGGGGTTAAGGATTAAATACAAAAAAAGACACCCAAAAAAGAAAAAAAAAATTCCAGGAACATATTAGGTGCAAATATGAATCATGAAATGATAATAGAAGTGATGGAGGGAGAAATAAGCAAATAATACAAGCAGCTAATCTTTTACATGGGCATGTATATTTAAGTATTGCAAACTTTTTCCTTTTCTCTTATGCTGGCTTTAATATTCCATAAGCAGCAACCGAAATAGATGAAAATAATCAGAATCAGAGAGACAAGAAACTCAACGGAAGCACAGAAGAATAATAATCACTTAAAATGTCAGATAGGATATGAGAGCCGAGGTAAATCCAACGCCAACACCTGAGAAATCAGAAACAGCTCTTAGTGCCTCAAGAAAAGACAGCTTTATCCTTCAAATTGTAAATAGAAGTAACACAAATTGAGACCAAACATAAGAACAACTAAGCAATATGAAGGCACCCAAAGTATACTATAGCATGTGCCAGACACAGAAAGATGCAGCTTTTACCTATAGAAACTTATAATATTCCTCTAATCTTAGAAAATTCAGTTCCTTAATGCATCTCTTAGATGTCATCAAGAAGTCCTCGTGGTTAAAATCGTTTTCTCACAAGCACATTCTTGATAATTGAACAAGATATCTCAGAGTAGTTAGGCATTGATCTATTCCACTGACAGCAAGTTCAAAACAAACCTGATGACATTGAGCCAACAAAGGTCTCAAGAAATCTAACAATGATCATGAAGAAGTTCTGTTCTGAAGAACTATGGCTTCTCACTAATGACATTGTCCTGACAAAACAAATAGCGATAAGACTTTCACATACCTCAGAACTCATTTTTATTTTTAAAAAAAAATTCAAGCAGACTTACCTGTACAAGGAGATTGCCATCTTACAATTGCATGCCACATAAAACATATGAATATATTAGTAAACATCAAACTAACCCAATAGAAAACGACAAAATTATAAGCAGTGAGTTACACATTTCTAGAAGAAGATACATTAAAAAATAGAACTTACTGCATCATTCAACACAGACTCCCCAAAGACCAACGCATACAGATTCGTGTCCGTGCCAAGCTCCTAGAAATTTATCATCTCAGATATTAGTCACTTCAAAATTAATTAGAGAATATTATATTTAAAAAATATTGAAACGCTGCCATCCCTCATGCTGACAAAAGCCAAGGAAGACTACAAAATAATAAGCACACACTTAATTTCAAGGCCCAATTCCTTTGGCATTCCAAAGACGGTGTGGACCAAATTTTGGATGTTATCTAGCAACTCACAGAATAGTATGCTTTAGCAATTTCTTAAATTAATACACAAATTATCAAGTTAGGGATGTTTTGGGACGTTGGCAAACTTTTCTATTGCTCTTGTCCATAGGCTGCTTCAACATCTTATGGAGTCAGAGGTCAAGACTCTTTAAGAACTAAGTGAGCTTAAAGGTCAAGGAAATAAAGTTCTATCTGAAGTTTGAATACATGTATATGCGGCTATAAAGGATCAAAGAGTAATGAATTCTAGTTGCCTCAAGACTGAGATAGATCAAATCAGCTCAAAGTTGTAAACATTCAGCAAATGAAGCAATTAATAATACAACATTGACGTTCTCAACTCAACAAAACACATCAGAATCATAACAAAAACTACAATAGACTAATCAACCCAGTTGATCATGTCATTTCTACATATTTTTGTTTCAGGTCATGTGAAATTTCTCAATAACAAAATTATACACCACCAAAAGAATATCACAAACCAGAACATCGAAGCCTCTGAAAATTCATCACAAGCTGAAACTCGTGTATCAAAAGATCTCTACACAACTTTGCATTGTTTTGCAGATTCTCCTTAATTGATATTCAGTCCTAAGTCCTTCATTCCTAGGACTTCTTCAAACGTAAGGGGACTATTATTAGGACCAAAGGTGAGCGTCACTTAACAGTACAAGTAATCATCTCTTGATGATTCATAAATGGTTATCAAAGCTACCAAATACCTTTTATAGAGATATCATTTGACTACTTGGCACACCCTAATTCCTCTATATTCCAAACAGCTTGTAGGTACAAAAATTACTTTTTTTTAAACTAATTCCCCCTTTCCCACATTACTATTACTGATGCTTTGATACAACTGAGAACCAAGAGAGTAGATGTCTATATGAGATTTTAGAACATCAAACATCAGCATAAGTTTAAAATCCTTTAGGAACTAACAAAAAATGTGGATATAAGTGCCAGAGATACCATTCAAAACAAGGACCAGAGCAGATATAACTTCACCATATAGCATTTTTAAGGTGATTAAACGTCCTATTATGGAGAAACAAAATCACCTGAAATATGGATAGAACAGTCACAGGATCTGTTGCTGATATAAGAGCACCAAACATCAAACATTCGACAAAGGGTAGTTTGTATGTAAGATACATTAAACCACCAAGGTAGCTGCAGATAAAACATAAAAAGAAGAAAACAGAAAACAATGTCGGTGACGCATGATAAATGAAGCTTTGGAATAAAGCATAATTAGAATCAAAATTACATTCTCTTATGTTGCAGTAATTCCAATTCCAAATCACTGAACAAAAGCTTGAACATATGAAAAATGGTATACATCACGAACAAATATGACAACTCACACCAGAATCCCTGTTACAACAGAAGCAATGAAGGTCCCTCCAATTGCAAAGGTGACAATGGCTCCAAAATTTGAAAAGAATGGTTTCTGTAAATTGCAAGAGACACAAACGCCATATTATGGTTGCAAATGATGTAAAACCGAATGGAAATGCTAACATCGAAGAACTTGGATAAAGAAATAGAGAGAAAACTTACCGGCTGAAGACTGAATCCTGATTGAGTAATCATCATAGAGTCAAGAGAAACAACAACTGGGAACTAGCAGTGTATAGCTAATAAGCAATATACTAAAATAAACAATTGCACAGAATCAGAATGCTGAAAAAGTTTCCTTATTAGAAAGGACCCAAAGAAAGGATATAAGATTATTGGAGGTAATAAAAACAGGAAGAAAAACTCCTCATGGAAGTTAAACCAAGCCCTGCAAAGCAGGAGGGAGGGAGAGAGAAAGAAGAGAAAACAAATAAAAGTTATAGATGAAATGCACAAAATTCCATGGGGCAAATAAACCGAATTCTGTTCTTTTTCCTTTTGCGTTTTTTATTCTTTTCTTAATTGGAGGAGGGAAGGAGGCGGAAATGGCAGTGTTCGACTTACTGACCTGATGCTAGTTTCTGTATCGGAAACGTTAGCCAGTCCACCAACAATCAGACCTGCCAGAGTTTATGTTAAAAGGGGGCAACACTGGCAGCTTATTCTGACCTAAATTTCCTCCCATGAGACACGAGAGACTTTACTTTTCAGCAACACGTAGTCGAATGATAAAAAGTTCTTGATTGACAAACCGAAAGCAAAAGGAAATGAAGGTCGATAACTAGCATGGGAGACTAAAGGAAGGGATTACTATTAGTCTATTACCAATCAAAAGGGAGGCGCTAGCCTCGGGTAGGTAATAGAAGCGGTGACGCCGAAGGACATGGCCGAGGACGAAAGAGAGCACGAGCATCATGATCTGAAGGAGAATCCCAACTCCAGCCGCCTGCTGCTCCTTCCCTGGACTCTCCCGAGAATCTGCCGGAGATATCTGCAGCTCGTCCATGCTACTGATGTCCCCGGTGGCTTGGGCTCTTTTCTTTTCTTTATTTTTTCTTTTCCTTTTTGTCTCCCTTTTCTTTACGTTTTATACTCTGCCGAGAACTGTATCTTTCCCGGTTGATTTTTCTTTGATTGCTTTCCCCGAATTTGTCCGCAATGTCTCTCTCAGCACCCCTTCGTCTCCGCCAGACTTCCTCTGTCAGTCGTAAACTCCCACGCTGGCCGCTGCCACGCTTATATTACAAAAGAGCTTAATTGTACTTACCTCCTTGAGGTTTGGTCAAACTACAATAAACCCTTGAGGTTTGGTCAAACTAAAATCAACCCTTGAGGTTTGGTCAAACTAAAATCAACCTTGAGGTTTGTCCAAATTATATTTACCTCTCGTTAGTGTATCTGGAACATAGATACGTGAAAGGGCAAACTTGCCCTTTTGCTGTAAAGGGTTAAATTTAGCTTCAAAATTTTTGACATAAAATTCATATCTATAACATTTTGAATAAGTACAAAACAAATATTCTAGAAAACATTAAAAAAGAAACATTTTGAATCCCAAAAAATATCTAAAAATAATTTTTAAAAAAATTTAGAAGGAAAATTCTAAGAGATAAAGAAAACATCATGAAAGGAAGAAAATCTATAGAAACATAAAAAAGAACACCCTAATGATAGAAGAAAAAAAACAGAAAATCATGAAGAAAGGAAATAATTAAACAACTTTAAGTTTAGAAACGAAATCTTGCTTTTTATCTACTTTTTTGTTATTTTTTTGTTCTTTCTTTATGAACCACTCTACTCTAATGTCTCTTCTATATAGGCTGGAGCCATTTTTAAGTGTTGTAAATCCACCTTCTTGTCCTAGTAATTTCTCTTTTTTCGCTTAAGTGCGTAGTCAAACCCATCAAACTATGTTATAACTCACAAGATTAAAATGAGAGGATGTGCACACATATACATATGTATGTATATGCACGTAAATAAGTATGTACACATACACATAAAAATAGAATATGCAATTCCAATAAATTGGATTGATTATGAGAGAGGAGAAATTTATTGCTAGAAGCAACATATATTTTTGCAATAGATTTTCAATAAAAGGAAATGATTAAAGAGGTTAGGATTGATGGTTAAGAAATCAAATTGAAAGGACTAGAGAAGATATCAAATTGGCAATATTCCTAAGTGTAAAGAATCTATGTACATACAATTCTATTATACATAACCAACTAAAACAGAAGATTCAATAGAACAGTTTTGATTTTCTAGACTTTCATTTCACGTGTATGTATATGTATATATGTATGTATATATGAATGTATATATGTATATATATTGTTGACACCTTAAATGTATAGGGAGAGGCTTGCAATCATTTAAGACTTTTAGCCCAATTTAGTATAGTTTTGGCAAGGAATTGACTGGCAACTCTTTAGGCTTTTAGGTTTATCTGGAGCACAGTACATATTTATTTATTTATTTAGGGGTCCCTTTTTTAATAAGGTACCCATTTTTTTTGTCAGAAAGTAATGAGTATTTGGATTGATGGTTCAAAATTCAAATTACAGTTCATCATTGTAATGGCAACCTAGTCTAGGTTGTAATGCCTATCATCCTAAGACATGATCGTCATAAAGTAATGTCTTGAAAGAGGATCGAGGAAAGAATTCAATGAAAACCAATCAAGATACAAGCTATGCAAAAATAAAATGAGATAATTGCTATATGGATTAGTTATTTTTTGAGGTGTTTTTAAAAAATTTTACTATAATATGAGCCTGTTTGGAAGCCAGATTTTTAAGCAAGTTTTTTACCTACTAGTTTTTTAACAACTTTTGCTACAAGAACCCCAAAAAACTTATTCAAAGTTTTTAACCTACACACTTCAAAAATACACAAAAAACTTTCCCTTCAACTTTTCTTCTTTTTCTTCCCCCACCTAACCCACCACATCCTCCGCCGCCAGCCACCACCGCTTCCAGCGCCGGTCACTATTCCGACCGCCAGTTCCCGCCTTCCTTTTTTCTTTTGCTCTCTTTCCCTCACCTCTCTCCTCCTCTCCCCTCCCCCTTTGACCGATCTGTTGGTGCCCTTCTGAAAATTTTTTCCTTTTTTTTTTCTCCCTCAGCCCTCCCCTCTTCACCTCTACCTCCCCCGCCACCCTCCCCCTTTGACTAATCTGATCTCGCGCGACCAGATCGCAAAAGAGGAGGGGGGAAGGGGAGGGGCGGCGGGGGAAGGAAGGGGAAGGGGAAGGGCGCGACCAGATCGCATCCCGAAGGGGAAGAGGGAGAGTGGCGGGGGAGGGGAGGAGAGGGCGGCGGGGGAAGAGAAAAAAAGCAAAAAAAAAAAATAGGGGTGGCGAGGGAAGGAAGGGGAAGGGGAAGGGGAAGGGAGAGGGAGGGGTGGCTGCCATGGAAGAGAAAAAAAGCAAAAAAAAAAAAAAGACAAAAAGAAAGTTGCTGCCATGGAAGTCTCCGGGAGAGGGAACAGGGGAGGGAGAAGAAGCGAGACGAGAGGAAGGAAAAGAAAAAAGAAAGAGAGAAAAAAGAAAAAAGAAAATGAAAGAAAGAAAATGAAAAGGAAAAAAACTTTTTATCTTACAAAAATTTTTCTACAACTTCCACAGTTATCTACAGTAAAGTTTTATACAAACACAAAAAAAACTCACCTTCCAAATAGACCCATAATATGTGAAAAACTTTTACTGAAAAGGGAAAATCATTTAAAATGTCAATCACATTTTGTAAAATAACTTTTTTAGTCCCTTATTTTTAAAAAGTGTAATTTTATACTTTTTACAAATTCACATCGATTAAATTTGGCCCTCACCTAAGTTTTTGACTAGTTTTTTGTCGAAATCCTCTATGTGCATTGCATTTGATCATTTTTTGAAGGGCAAAATTGTCAAATCAAATTTTACATAATCCGATCCATAGTCCCTTAAATTTTACAAAATGAATTGTTTCGTTTTTCACATTTCATAAAATGAATTTTTTTATCTCTCATTTTTACAAAATAAAGTTTTACATCATTCATTGACCATATATGCGAATAGTTTTTTTTTAACCCATGTACATATCTATTTAATTCACCTAAATAGTACGAATAATATGCAATATATCTCTATTTGATTTCATCTAAATAAACAAATTGTAGTTGTATACACGCTATTCAGTAGATATATATATATAGGTTTAAAACCAACAATTTTGTTTTAAACCCATGTATATATCTATATAATTTTACCATGTGAAACTATTCAATATTGGGTTCTAACTCGAATTTTATAATCATACTAATAAATTGTAGTTTAAATTTGAAATTTATACTTGTCACTTTTAAAATCAACAGTTGAATTACCTGCTTTGATTTGATATAAACACTCAATAATGTTATTCGTACTGTTCAGGTGTAGTCAAATAAATATATACATATGGGTTAAAAAAAGGTTATTCGTACACATAATTAATAAGGGATAAATAAATTAATTTTGTGAAAATGCGAGGGAAGAAAAAATTCATTTTGTAAAATGTGAAAAACTATAGATCGGATTATGTAAATTTTAATTTGACAATTTTGTGATTAAAAAATAATCATTTGGTAAAAAACTAGTCGGAAATCTAAGTAGGGATCAAATTTGATTAATGTGAATTTGTAACGGACGTAAAATTATATTTTTAAAAATGAATGACGAAAAAAATTATTTTGCAAAATGTGATGGATATTTTGAATAATTTTTCTATTGAAAATGTATTAGGTGTTTATGCTCAGGTATTTTTGAGATATATTTTAAAATATTTTTAAAATTTAAAACCTTTTTGGGTATTTTTAAAAAAATTTATAGCACTTACATTCGTTACCATCCCCTCAATGGTATTGCCAAAAGTAAATCCCAATAGACTCTTAAATCCATCCAAGATTTAGTTTATCGTGGTATGATTTGCCAAAATAATGTGCATTATTTATCTTATATTTTATGCGAAGGTGAGAAAACATGAGAAAAGAAAACACGAAAAGTATAAAATGATTTGATGAAGCATGTTGTGAGCATCATAATAGACAATAAGATTAAAAGGGATGAAAATAGCATCCTCAATATTTACATGAAGAATTGATAGGATAAAAGAAATATTTTTCCTCTTTTTTCTTTTCTTCCTCCTTGATTCTTTCTTTTGGTCACTTATTTGTTATTCTTATTTCTGAAAGCAAATCTCTCATTTTTTTTAATTAATAAGACATGATAGCGTTGACTATTAATTGGCTAAACCTAAGGATTTGTTTCATAGTTTGACTAAACTACAGGGGAGGTATATGTAATTAACCCTTCTTGGTAAGATTTTTTTTTTTTTTAGGTATGAGTCTGGGTTAGTTTTATAAATTAGGCACTCTGAAAATAATAAAAATTTCTTATATTATATAAAAACGAGTTTAGGACTAAATTTCAACCGCAGGGGTGAGGCTATTTTGGGAATGTGAGAGTGTTTGAAGAGTAATTGGAACATTGAGTACAAGTCATTATAGCTTTAATTTTACTATAATTACTTATATAACCTTTCAGACATTTAAGATTAGGGGCAGGTTTGGTATGTTACAATATTTGGTGCCAAATTGAGTATCAAATACAACTGAATAAAGCTTGTGTTTTGATAGAATTACATAAAAGTCCTTTTAATCATTTATTATACTAACATTCAAGCCTTCCAATTTCCTGAAACCTTTCTCATCCGTTAAGAAATTAATTGGATGTTTACATAATTGAATTTTAATTACAATTAATTAACTTAATTATTATTTAAACAATCATTATCATATTTATGTCCCCATGTTTAGCCGATACCCTTTTTTCTTTTTCGGTTTCACCTCTTTGATTTTATCATGGCTATTAAATATTTGGTGGAATGCATAACTTTTCCTTTAAATTGAGATGAGTTCTTTGGGTTTGTCTTCTTCGATTGTAGTTTTTTTTTTCTGATGATTAGTTTATTCAAGAACTCCATATAGTTTACCTTTTGATACTTCTAATTCCAAAAACTGACTAATTGTATTATTTTCCTTAGTAGATCTCAGAGATTCTGTCTCTGGTCAAAGTACAATTTGAGATAATGTTGTCACTTTCTAAAATAATCAGAAAAGTAATTTTATCATCTTCTCTTCATCGGTCAAGGTATTATCTCTTTATTTAAGTCAAATAACGTTATTTCTCATGAACTTTCTCCTATTGTTC